CATATCCATGTTACTAAAACTATTTAATACTATTTGCCTCAACTTAGTTTGAGCTTATTTTGTTGTTGTTGTTGTTGTTTTTTATTTTTTTCTCCTTTATAGTTTTTACATTTACTTACATATGTATACATTGTTTGTGCCACCCCCCATCCCCACCCCCCCCACCTCTGCCTCCAGGCAGAACTTATTCTGCCCTCTTCTCCAGTTTTGTTGAAGAGAAAAACATAAGAGATAATAAGAAAGACATATTGTTTTTGTTAGTTTGGGATAAAGATAGCTATACAGAGAGATTGCTAGCGTTGTTTCCATGCACTGTGTATTGCATCCCACATTTGGTTCATTTCTAGCAGACCTCTTCGCTACTTCCTGATCCTCTTCCCATAGTAGCCTCTGCCGATTTAAGATTACTTTATTTTGAGCTTATTTTTTAAGAAAATGTTTTGCAACTATCTATAGAAAACTATCACTTCTTTTAATAGGAAATAACTCTAAATAGGAATCTAAATACAAACAAAACAATGTTTTTAAATTTTAATTGAAAATTAGTTATTTAATAGTATTAAATTTTTAATTCTTGCTATTCTTGGTCAGAAATGTGCCAAAACAACGTTTTTTATGTTTGATGGCAGCACCCTAATTGTCTTTTTTTTCTTTTTTTAAAACGTGTAAACAAAGCCTCTAGTTAAGCTTCTAGATGTCCTTCTTAGGAGGAAATGGGAGTGTATGAAAATATGTTTATGGAACCAAGATTGTTTTTTGTTTTATTTGAGTTAATTTTTCTTAAAACTCCTAAATTTTGAAATTGGACTTCTTAGTTAGCATAACATCAATTTCTAAATAGGGAAATTGATTACTATACTTTTGGGGGGTTTTGATTGTTTGAGGATTTTTTGTTTTGTTTTGAGATAAGGTCTCACTATGTAGCCTCGACTGACCTCAAACTGATGATCCTTCTGCCTTATCCTCCTGAGTGCTAGGATTATAGGTACACCACCATGCCCAGATAATACAGTTTATTTTTACTTAACATAAAACAGCTTAATACAACCCTAATATCTGACAATATATAGGTAATATACCTATATATTGGTTTCTGTTACCTTGTAAATAATCTAATGAGTTAAAATCCCATCTGCAAAAGCAAATGGAAGAAGAGCGATCTTTTTAGTTTATTTTAATAAGGGAAATTTTTTCTTGAAGTAGTTCGAAGTATGTTTCATTTCTTTAAAATAAATCAGTATTTTTTAAATTTACTGACAATAAAGTTAGTGTGTTTGAATTTCTGGTCTGAATATATTATGTCACTTCCAAATGATTTAAAGAGGGCACAATGGCTCAGCTTTCCTTTTAACTTGGTCTTACTTTTCAGCTACAAATATCCTGTTGTCTTCTCTCCAAAATGCCACCATGTAGGCTGTATTTCACTATACTGTGGGAAAAGACAAGTAGATAGTTTTCATTCTTTGGGGATTTTGTTTCTCAGTGCTGGGGATCAAAGCCATTGGCCTTGTGTATGCTAGGTAAGCACTGTACCACTAAGCTACATCCCCAGCCCAACACTTCATTCATGAGATTCCTATGAAACCTATTGGTGGAGGTATAAAACCAAGAGACATTTATGGGCTCCATAGTAAGTGTTCTTATAAAATCTTTGTAACAGAGCCCATCAGAAAGACCAGAAGAGAACTAGATAGAGAAAATTCCTGATCCCATTAAACTGCTAGTGAAATAGACATGATAGCATTCTGGGGATCGTTTATTCTAGTGATTTTTCTGTCTTATCAGAAGTGTTAGTCTTTTATTTCATACTTGGGTCAAATATATATGTGTGTATTTTTAATTTATATATGTGTATATATTAATACATATATACACGTTTATATGCGTACACATGTATATATGTGTATATATATTAATAATTGTAGATTTACATGGAGTTTTAAGAAATAACAGATTCTGCATACCCTTTCTTCAACTCTCCCCAGTGATAACATTTTGCAAAACTACAGTAAAATTTCACGACCGAGATTTTTTTTTCTTAAGGGTTTCTTGGGCGGGGGATTGGTGAGAGTGCTGTAGATCAAACACAGGGCTTTGCACATATTAGGCTAGCGCTCTACTATTGAGATGCCCCTAGTCTACAATCAGGATACTACGGCCATACCACCCTGCATATGCCCAATCTTGTCTGACTTTGGAAGCTGTGCAAGGTCAGGCCTGGTTAGTACTTGGAAAAGTAACAACATTCCCATCACCACAGGAGCTCATCCTGCAGCATGTCACTTCCCTCCTCCTCATTCCAGGAATGTTATATGGGAGGCTGAGATCAGGAGGCTTGTGGTTCAAGGCCAATTCGGGCAAAATAGTTTGCAGAACTCACCCCCGCCCCCATCTTCAAAATAACCAGATTAGGGGAAAAAAAATGGACTGGAGGTATGGCTCAAGTGGTAGATTGCCTGCTTTGCAAGAGTGAAGCCATGAGTTCAAATCCCAGCCCCACCAAAAAAAGAAAAGAATGTATATAAATGGAATCATTCATGTAACCTTTGGAGTTAGCTTGTTTTTTACTCGGCATAATTCTTTTACGATAAATCCATGGAGCATTTATTTATCAATAGTTTGTTCCTTTTTATGACTGAGTAGTATTCTAGTATGATTATAGTAGTTTAATCATATACTTGGTAAGGACATCTGGGTTCCTTCCGTTTGGGGGCTGTCACACATAAAGCTGCTATAATCATTTGTGTTCCTGGTTTTTAATTGTCTGAACATAAGTCTTCACTTACCAGGGTACGTGCACAGGAGTACAATATTGCCTTTAGTCTTCAGAACTTGGCATGATTCTGTGTAGGGTTTGTGCAGTTTCTCTCATTTATAGTTTTATTTGTCTTTCCAAATTTTCAGTCATTTTTTCTTAGAGTATTATTTCAGTTGTTCCCTTTTTCTTCTTGAGGTCTCAGTGACACAACTGTTAGATTTTTTGCTGTAGTCCCATGGGTCCATGAGACTCTGTTGTCCCCACCACCAGCTATCTCCATTTTTGTCTGTTGTTCAGATTAGATAATTTCTACTATTCTATATTCTGGTTCACTGATTCTTTACTAGGTCCTTTCCGTTTTACTGTTGAGCCTATCTAGTAAGCTTTTTAATTTAATATATTTGAATATATTTTCTATTTCTAAAATTTCCCCTTGTATCTTGTTTCTTTGCTAAGACTATTATTTATTTATTAACTTATTTAGTAGTACTAGGGATTGAACTCTGGACCTTGTGGTTCTACCACTTGAGCTATGACCCCAGTCCTTTTGCTTTTAGTTTCCTTTTCAGATAGGATCTCAAAAACTGCCTGGGCTAGCCTGGAACTGATATCCTCCTACTTCCCTTCTGGAGTAGCTAGGATTACAAGCGTACACCACACTGATACTTTCTGTTTTTTCCCCATTGTCTCAAAGGTACTTTATAATTACTTCTCAAAGCATTTTTTCATGGCTGCATATTAACTTTCTGTAAAGTTATGCTTACTCCTCAGTCTTGGCATCTGTTGATTACCATTTGCATTGTTTTAAATCTTCCTAGTTCTTGATAAGTGACTTCTGCTGGTAGAGTGGCTCAAGTGGTAGGAGTGCCTGCCTTGCAAGCATAATGCCCTGAATTCAAACCTTAGTGCTGCCTAAAGAAAAGCAGCAGCTTGATAAGTGACTTCTGTACATTTTTCTTTTTTTGGCAGTACTGGAGTTTAAACTCAGGGCCTCCTGCTTGCTAGGTGGAGCCGTGCCACTTGAACCATTTCAACAGCTCCCCCCACCCCTTTTTTTTTTTTTTAGGTACTGGGGTTTGAACTCAGGGTCTTACACTTGCTAGATACTTGCTATCACTTGAGCCACTCCATCAGCCCTAAAACCTGTACATTTTCAAACTATGTTCTGAGACTTCTGTTCCCACTGGCTTTTCCTGACATTGCTTTGGTAGGGTAATATAGGTTGTGTTCTCATTACTGCCAGGTAGAAGTCCAGGTTCCCTATTCAACCCCTACTGACACCTGATGGGGGAGAATCCTTGTTTCTGTTGAGTAGGGGTGGAAGTCCAAGTTCCCTCATGTGGTCTCCACTGACACCACTGGGTGTAGGTACAGAAGCATCCCTGTCCATCAGGGTGGAAGTCCTGGCTTCACATCCTCCCTATGGTTCACAAGGTAGAAGTTACTACTTCTCACTTAGATCTTGCTACTGCTGCTGCTGGTGGTGGTGGTGGGTGACACAGTGTTTTCTATAGTGTTTAGCTAGAGTAAAACAGTTTATTTTAGAAAAGTTGTGGCAGTACACATCTATAATCCCAGCAGTGGCATTGGGAAGTAGAGGCAGGGGATTGCAAGTTCTACCCAGCCTGGGCTTGTAGGGAGACCCTGTCTCAAAAAACAAACAAAAAAGGAGATTTTTCTGTCTTGCTAGGCTGACCTTTTTTGTTCCTTTATTTAGAGAGCAAGCTTTTTTGTGTTTTTTTTTTTTTTTCCTTGCCTGTACCACTTGACATTTCTAGGTTGCTGGCTTCTTCAGCTCCAAGTCTGGGATGTATTAGTTAACTCAGTGGTAGAGCACTTGGCTGGCATGCATAAGGCCCTGAATCAATTCCTACTATTACAAGTAAACAAAAGGAAAACACAGAGAACTCACTATCAAACACTGTTCCCTGAGGTCCCTATTTGTACTGCTTCTCTTCACTTTTCACATTTTCTTATGTTGTTATGTCCAGGGTTTTTAGTTGTACTTTGTAGAAATAGTAGGGAAAAGTACATCTACTCCATTTCTATAAGTAGAAGGCCCCACATTTACATTTTGATTCACTCATGTCAAATATCTTAACTATTAATGGAGAAAATGTCACATACTTTATAGATCATGTGATAACGGGCATAATATTGTACTCAAGAGGACTGTTGGAAAATAGTATGTTTAAACTGAAATTCATTGTTCACATTATTAATGAAAACTCTTCCCCTCTAGGAAAGAATGCAAAAGGTGTCCCAAGGCCCCTGACCAGTGAGCAAAAGATTTGAGAAAGACAGCCAAGCTCATGTTTTCTCCTGATCAAGAAAATCATCCTTCCAAAGCACCAGTAAAATATGGTGAACTCATTGTCTTAGGGTAAGACTTCTATATCTGATGATACATAAAATTGAATAATATAAAGTTATCTTGGTCCCTAGGTTAAAACTACTTTTTTGTGGAATTTATATCTTACCTATCCAAAAAAGAATCTAAAGTTACAGGGTAATGTTACCAAATTAAGAAACTCTTGAATTCTCATATTTTTGCCATTCTTATAAGTGCTTAAATACCACATAAACTTTGGCCACACACTCACCCCATAAAGGGTAGAGTTTGCCTTCTCTATCCCATCTTTGCCAAGCGCCCCTTTCCCCTTCCACTTGAGGTCATTTCATGCAGATTACTACTTGTTGTTTTGCCCCTGTAAGGTAGTTGTTGGTTTGTCCTTAAGTTCCAACTGTGCTGTGTTTCTTGATGAAAGGAGTTGTGAGGCATATGGGAACAGTAGAATGACTCTGAAGCCCAGGACTTCACTATTTGTTTGCTTTAAAAGTAATCTCATTCATTTAACTCTCAGAAAAGCAATCTGCAGAGAGAAGAATAGACGGCTCCAGTTTTTCAATTTGTTTCATCTAAACCTGCCATACCTGTCAAAATGGTGGCACAGTCTGTTAGCTAGCTATCCTAGAAACTAGAAATTGCAAAATATTCTTTCCACCTGTCCATTTCTCTACTTTTGCTAAAAGGAAGCACTAGGTAATGCAGTATATTTGAGAATCAGATCAAGTGAAAATGCATTAGCTGTTTCAGATGAGAGAGTAAGAGAAACTGGGGAGATAATGTGGAGTTACAAAAATTGACTAGGAGTTGGAAATCCTAGATTCCAGCGCTTACTCTCACACTGCCAGCTGTATGACCTTGGGCAAGTCAGCCATAGGGGCCTTAGTTCCTTCCTGTAAAATGACAACTAGACATGATCATCTGAGGCCCTTTGAAACTTAATATTTTTTTCTGTCAAAAACCAAATTTAAGAGATCATAAATTTAAGCCCAGTGTGGTGGCCCATGCTCATAATCCCACTACTCTGGAGGGAGAGATTGGGGTAGCAGTTCAAGGCTAGCCCCCACAAGAAGTCAGCAAACTCCTATCTCAGCAAATTAACTGGGCATGGTGGTTCATGCTTGTAATCCCAGCTATGCAAAAGGCATAGGTAGAAGAATTATAGTCCAAGGCCAGCCCTGAGCAAAGACTCAACATCCTGTCTGAAAAATAACAAGCAAAAAAGCTGTAGAAGTAGAGCACCTAACTAGCAGGCACCCCGGTGCCATCCAAAACACAGATCATACACTTTTACTTTTTAACTAGTTTTATAACTTCAGGTCACATAGACTTTAATTATATCAATGACAGTTTTTAACTACCAAAAATCTATTCTTAGTTAATTCTTTTAGCACAAAATTTGAGAGTTATTGAAGAATAGGGTTTAAAACTCAGTACATGGTTTTAAAGTGCCTCTCTTAGCCTAGAAGTTTCCCAGTTACTCATTAGCAGTAGTGATTTTCTCTGTATGGTGTTTAGTATCTTAAAATACAAATAAAACTCTAGAAATGAAACTGGACAAAGTTGTCTGTTTCTTGCTATTGCTACTTAGAAAAGAATGTTAAATTCAAGAATGCATCTTGGGAAATAGCATAAATCCAGAAGAGGAATGAGTCAAGGAACTTAAAAGGACAGTAGTGAGGGATGGTTAAGGAACCGACAGTGGGGCTGGTGGCCACACATAGCCTAGAGTAGTAAAATTATTATATTAGCTAAGGAGCTCTACTTTGCACTTGTTAAGGCTAGCAAAATTAGCAAGGGCTTTCTCTAGAGCAAAGTGTTTTTGTTTTGTTTTTTTACAAAAGGTCAATATAATTCCTATATATGGTAGCCATTGAGTAAACTCTTCTCAGCTTTAAGACATGGTTCTTTGTAAACCATCATTGCAGGCCATTTTACAAATCATTTTATCCTCCAACCTCAGATCCATCCCTGTTCTCTGATTCATTCCCTCCCAGATGGACCAGCTATATATGGGAGATGATTTTTCAGGATGGGGGACAGTGAAAAATGAAGACTATTATTAAATCACAGTTTATGCCTCAATGAAGATGTATAGAATAACAAAGTCACATAGCAGTCATACCTGAATTCATGTTCTGTCTTTGTCAGTGTCACCTGGGTGACATTCAGAAAATAATTCCTCTGAGCCTGTTTCCTAACCTGTAAAACCAGGGACAGTGATGCCAGTCTGGCAGTTTTTATGAAACTAGAAGTGAGGTGATATATGAGATAGAACTCAGCACTGCTTGGTATATAGTAATGCAGTAATTGTTTAGGGTTGTTTTTAACTTTTTCCCAATTGTTTCAATACTTACTTACATATTGCACCTTCAGGGCCTATATATGTTATCATGGAGAAATCAAAGATCTGATTACCAAAAACATTTTAACCACTAGTTAGGAGAGGGTCTGCTAACACATCAATGTATATGTATGTTCAGGTAGCTAGGACTTAACAAGTCTATTCCTTATTTCAAAAGCTATTTAAAGTGACTCACAATTAAAGGAGATTTTCCTTTAAACAATCACACACTACTTTTAAAGATTGTATTAGCACATGCAAAAACATTCACCCTAAAAAGAGAATGAGTCATAAGGAGTCAGATATGCCATTAACCAGCTCTTGATTATCTTCAATAAAAGAAAGAAGAAAATATATAGATAACTCAAAGCTATGTATAGTACGTCTCTGTGACTTGGAATGTGGCCAGAAAGAATCTCATTTTGTTTCACACCCAGCCAGCTGTTCTGGAGATCAGCAATAGAAAAGGAATTTGAGAAAATTACTAGGTACTAATAGATAATTGATTGGGAATTGATTCTATAAGGCAAAGTAAAGCATTTGTTTTATAATTGTGTGATTCTTATAAGAAATCATCTAAACTTTTTTTTTTCTCCCATCAGGTATAATGGGTCTCTCCCAAATGGTGATAGAGGAAGGAGGAAAAGTAGGTTTGCTTTGTTTAAAAGACCTAAGGCAAATGGGGTGAAGCCCAGCACTGTGCATATCGCATGTACTCCTCAGGCTGCAAAGGTAAAAAGATAAAAATTTAAAAACTAAATAAATTAACAGAGAAATTGAAAGACTTATGTGGTTATAGTCTGTAGCATTCCCCTCACATTTCTATTTGAGGAATTTCTGTTTATTTGGATTGGAGAAAAGATCTTGGAAACATGGTATTTGACCAGTTGCTCTTTGAGTGGGAATTGGACTTTTTAAAAATGACAACCAGGATCAGTGGGTAGAAATTGAAGGAAACATTCCCATTCCCTATTAAAAAAGATGGAAATGGGCCAGGGCTTTATTTAGAATTGGGCTACCATCCACCCTGAGAAGTAGGGAATTCTGTCTTTGTTACCACAAGGGCCCTGTCCCAGTCTGGGGGAGGAATGTGGTATATATTATGTATATTTAGGTATCAGAAGCAGTTTGGATAAGGTAGCTAATTAACCAAGAGTCCTTATCTAAAATTCTGTGGGTGCCCTTGTTTTTATTTAGTTTTGGTTTGTTTTATGACTTTCATAGTTTTACCTTAGTGCTCTATACAGAGTAGACCTCAGTAAGTATTAGATTGAATCAAAGCAATGGAAGCAAATACTCAGCTGTATCTACAGTATAACTTCTCTCTCTCTCTCTTTGACACACAAACACACACACACACACACCTCTGCCTTATTAATGCTTCTTCAAGCTCCCTTTTCTTACCAGAATTTCCAGGCACTGGGCCACCATTTCAGGACAGTTGTCCTTTGTTTTGAGTACAGACAAGTAGAGGGGACTGCAGATATTTGCCTTTACTGTGACTCCCTCTAATTCCAGTTTTTTTATAACACTGAATTTGATATTGTGATGAGCAAATAAGAAAACTTCAGAATTCTTTGCCTTCTATAAGAACCTGGGTCTTTAGCTAAGTAGCCTGAGGATGGACATTAATATCATAGCATCTGAGGTATGTCTTTGAAAGTTAAATAACTTAGAGATGGTAAAATTGGCATGTGTTGCCCTGTTTTTAGGTCATAGTCCAGTCCACAAAGTTAGATTTTCATCCTTGTTTTATATACAGTTTCACATTCAAAACTGAGGCCTCAGGTCTTAACTAGACCTCATCTATTACTATTTGAGAGAAAAGGGGACAGTTTCTTTTTAAGGTGTTACTTTTTGCTCCTGTGCAGAGATGGGATGTGCTTAGCAGATGATAGAAGTGAATGACTTATTGGTCTCAATCTGAGGAGCCTCTTAGACATTTCCCCACAGGAGTGCTCTTGGTAGTTTGGGTGTACCAATTCTTCACTGTGCAGGACCATCCCACCTATCACAGGACATTTAATAATCTTTGTCTCTTACCTACTAAGTGCCATTTGAGCCCTCACAGCATTGTGAGAGCCAAAAAAATGCATTTACATATTTTCAGATGCCTCTTAGATAGCTAATACTACCTGTGGTTGAAAATCACTATCAGGGAAAATATTTATAATCCCTACTTCTACAACACCCTATTTGGTTCTTTTCTTCACATTTTTTATAATATCATGTCCCTCATGTTTTCATTGTTATCTCATGATAAAGGCCAGATAACCTGAATCTCAGGGATCCAAGATTGACTAATCAACCAATTTTTAAATTTTTGGATGAATATATTAGTGAAGTCATGAAGAAAATTTAACTTAGTCTAGTAGTCATCTGGAATGAGTGATTCAAACCCTGTCTTCCAGTCCAATGAGACTTAAACTTACTTAGCATAATTCTTATAGTCTTAGATTAACTTAATAGCTAAAATAAAAATACAGTCTCAAAGTCAACAAAAACCAGTATTTTAAAGTCTCTTTTGCCATTAAGAATCAATTTCCAAGCAGGCATTGGTGGCTCACACCTGTAATCTTAGCTACTTGGGAGGCTGAGAGGGAGAGGATTATGATTTGAGGCTAGCCCAGGCAAATAGTTCATGAGACCCCATCTCCAAAATAACCAAAACAATGTGGACTGGAGGTGTGGCTCGAGCCATAGAGCACCTGCTTTGCAAGTGTGAAAGCCCTGAATTCAAACCCCTGTCCCACAAAAAAAAAAAGAAAAAAGAATTTCCAGGACTGTAATCATAGCACTCAGGAGGCTGAGACAGAAGAATTAAAGAGTTGAGGCTAGCCTGGGCTACACAGTGAGAACCTATTCCAAAAGCCCCTCTCCATCCAAAAGAAGAAATCCAAAATAACAGTTATGTGAAAAATCATTTGCTTAATTTAAGTGTAGATTTTAAAACTTGCATAGCAATTATGTGATACTTATGAATATATAAATGTGTTAGAATGTTAATATGTATGTAAATGCTGTACACTACATTCTTTTTTCTCTTTTTTTTTTTTTTTTTTTGTGGCACTAGCGTTTGAACTCAGGGCCTCACATTTATTTGTTAAGCAGGCACTCTACAACTTGAGTCACTCCACCAGCCGTTTCGTGTTGAGTATTTTTGAGATAAGGTCTCACAGAACTCTTTGCCCAAGACTGACTTCAACCTGTGATCCTCCTGATCTCTTCCTCCTGAGAAGCTAGGATTACAGGCATGAGTCACTGGCACTCAGCAACATGCATTCTTCAGATTGGATACCTCTGGAGAAAGGAGAATAGAGAGAGGTGTAGGCAGCCTCAATTCTATCTGTAGAGTTTAATTTCTCTTAAAAAAAAAAAATAAGAAGCAAAAGTAGCATTGTTAAGCTTTGATAAAACCAGGTAGTTGGCCTGGCATCAATGGGTTAGGCCTGCAATCCTAGCTACTCAGGAGGCAGAGGTCAGGGGGATTGTGGTTCAAAGCCAGCCTGGTAAAATAGTTCACTAGACCCTATCTTGAAAAAAATCTTCACAGAAAAGGCTGGTGGAGTGTTTCAAGGTGTAGGCCCTGAGTTCAAACACCTATACCACAAAAAACGAAAAACACAATAAAAGGGGCTTTCAGAGTGGCTCAAGTGGTAAGAGTGCCTACCTATCAAGTGAGAGGCCCTGAGTTCAAACCCCAATGCCACCAAAAAAAACAAAACAAAACAGGTAGTTGGTACCCAGGTATCTAATTATCTTTGTATATTTAAAATTGATTAATTTTCTTAATCTTAGAGCTGGTGTTTTAAAGCTTTTATGTATTACAGGATAGCTAAAAATTAAAATCAGATAAAACCTTATCTGATAAATTAGAAGATAAAACTTCTAATTAAGAAATATTTTTTCCTTTAGCTTCTTTGCTGTGTATAATCACTCTGTCTTTGTTTTCCTTTTATACAACCTCTTTCCACTTCCTTTGTGCAATGAGTAGGTTTTTCCCCCTTCTGATATTATCTTCAACTCATTTACATAGACAAACGCCTGAAAACAAAACTGAAATGTTCTTTTTAGCAATGTTTTTAGTTTGGGATAAGTCAAAAGTACAATTTATAAGCATTAACTTTTCTTTTTATGATGTCTAATCACTCTTTGAATTTTTCTGTAACTACCCAAGCATATGACAAATATTTGTCATCTGTAGAGTCACAAAATAATTAGAAAACCAAATAACTCTGTATTGCTTATCTTTAAAGTTATAATGTAACTTTAAAAATAAGATTATTCTTTATTTTGCATGGTTTTGTATTTTTCTCAGATAATTCTCAGAGAAATACTCTGAGATAATACTCAGAGAGGTACTGAGTATTATTTTCAGTTTCTACATGGCATTTGGTTTTGTTCATTTTATAATTTAAAATATTTATAAGGAAAACACAGATTTTATGGTGTTTTAATTTTTAAAATTACGTGGGGTGAATTCAAGTATGATATATTTGATATATTGTAAGAACTTTTGTAAAAGCCACAATGTACCCCCACAACAATAAAAAATTCTTAGTTGAATATAAAAAAATATATATGTTCTTGTGTAACTGCCTCAAAGTATTCGGTATCCACTGAACCTGAAGATAATTCTGTCACAGCTGAAGGTTATACAAGAGTTAACTACCCTCTACTCTACATCTCGCAGTGGAAATACATAAGTGTATCATATATGACAAATATTTTAATTTTCTTTTAACAAAAAGATTTTCTAAAAAATAATGATTGACTAATTACTAATTTTTGCTGTTAACCTTTTCATTCACAGGCAATAAGTAACAAGGACCAGCATAGCATATCATACACTTTATCTCGGGCCCAGACAGTGGTGGTCGAATATACTCATGACAGTAACACGGATATGTTTCAGGTATTACATGAATTTTTTTCTTAAAAAATTAAAAATGTATTGTCATTGACTTTTGCTATGGTCTGTTATCTAAGGATTATCATATTTTAATAACGTATCTTGTTAAAATACATATTGATTTGTAAACCTTATGTATAAAAGTCATTGTGGCCTGGTTAAGAGATGGACTCTGGAATCAGAATTCGAGAGCTGTTTCATGCCTCAGCATCCTCCTCTGTAACAGTATAAGTGACCCAGGGTGTCTCATGACTGTCAGGAGGCTTAAGTGGGTTTGTGTATGTAAAGTGCTCAGAACTGTTGCCAGCTACTAGTAAACGCCTAGTAAATGTTAGCTCTTATTTTAAATAAGAAGTGCAGAAATACTCTGCATACGTTTTTGACTTTTATTTTTTTGCCACTACCCTCCCACCTTCCTTTCTAGGTAATCTACAAAAACTGCAAGCAGTTTCTAAAAATTTGTTTGGTCGGTGCTACTGGCACAATAAAAGTTCTCTCTCTTGCTTTCTCTCTCTCATCACCTGTCTCTCAGTGTCTCATTCTTTGTACCACACAGTGCTTATATTTTTTATAACAGGTTGTAGAATAGTTAAGCTCAAAGATGTAAACAAAATTTCTTAATAATAGGTTTTTTTTTTTTTTTTTGGCTATACTGGGATTTGAACACAGGGCTTCATGCTTGCTTGGTAGGCACTCTTACTGCTTGAGCCAATCCACCAACCTTTTGGTTTGCTTATGTATTTATTTTTTTAATTTTTTTTTAGGTTTTCTAAAGAAACTTAACTGGAACATAAACTGTCTGATAATGTTGCTTTTGTAATTATTGCCCCAATTAATTTTCTATTTTTCCTTATTTTATAAGATTAAATAAAAGTAAAAAGCCCCAGAGATGTATTTAATTTTAGTCAGTAGCAAAATATTTCTTTGGGGTTGCTCCCTCTCCCCATCCCTTTAAATGAGGTGTAAAACTTTTCTAGAACAGTGTCTCTATAATTAATATTATACTATGGATATTTGTTTGTGCTTTTGCCAAAACTAAATAAATATATACTTAATGAAGATGAAGGTTGAATCTCAACAACACCTAACTCAAAGCTTTGGGATGATTTCCCATATTTCATTTTACCAACAGCAATTAAAATAAGTATGTTTAGTTTTTTTTAAATCAATGTGCTACTAGACGTTTGAACTTCTAAACTGAACAAGACTACTTATTGCTGGTCCACCCAATATTTAAACTACAACTCAATTATATATGTAGATGCTACAGTAAGGGTGTAAATGTGAAGTACAGACTTCTGATTGGGAGGAAAGGTAAGGACAGGGTTTTACAGTAGTATCTTTTTCTGTCTGGACCCTCTTAATCAGGTTAAGTAGGATTTTTGCGGCAACCAGTACAAAGGCATTCTGGCAAAAGAAAATGACAGAAGTACTATTCAGTATGGTAGAAGATTGATGAATAAGCTACTTATGGCTAGCACACTATTTGTATGCAAAAATAGCAAGACATTGGGCTGGATTGACAAAAGGAAGCAAACCGTGAATTTATTTCTGTAAACTAAAAAGTTTGGATAGGCTGTTAAGGAACCATTTTGACGGGGTTGGAGGAGAGTGATTTGAAAAGTTCTGTATTTTTTAAGCCAGTAGTAGCAATTAGAGAAAGAATTACTGAAGTTTATCTTAACATAAAATATTTTGGTATTTGGTGACATTCATGTAGGTTTTTTTCTCTTTGTAGCCTTTTTTCCTTCTTACTTGTCATTGCCAGTATTGCTTTGATGTCTTCAGTCTTCTCTAAGGCCCAAATTATTATTTTTTTTTTCATTTTTCTTTTATTATTCATATGTGCATACAAGGCTTGGTTCATTTCTCCCCCCTGCCCCCACCCCCTCCCTTACCACCCACTCCACCCCCTCCCGCTCCCCCCCCTCAATACCCAGCAGAAACTATTTTGCCCTTATTTCTAATTTTGTTGTAGAGAGAGTATAAGCAATAATAGGAAGGAACAAGGGGTTTTGCTGGTTGAGATAAGGATAGCTATACAGAGCATTGACTCACATTGATTTCCTGTGCATGGGTGTTACCTTCTAGGTTAATTCTTTTTGATCTAACCTTTTCTCTAGTACCTGTTCCCCTTTTCCTATTGGCCTCAGTTGCTTTAAGGTATCTGCTTTAGTTTCTCTGCATTAAGGGCAACAAATGCTAGCTAATTTTTTAGGTGTCTTACCTATCCTCACCCCTCCCTTGTGTGCTCTCGCTTTTATCATGTGCTCATAGTCCAATCCCCTTGTTGTGTTTGCCCTTGATCTAATGTCCACATATGAGGGAGAACATACGATTTTTGGTCTTTTGGGCCAGGCTAACCTCACTCAGAATGATGTTCTCCAGTTCCATCCATTTACCAGCGAATGATAACATTTCGTTCTTCTTCATGGCTGCATAGAATTCCATTGTGTATAGATACCACATTTTCTTAATCCATTCGTCTGTGCTGGGGCATCTTGGCTGTTTCCATAACTTGGCTATTGTGAATAGTGCCGCAATAAACATGGATGTGCAGGTGCCTCTAGAGTAACAGTCTTTTGGGTATATCCCCAAGAGTGGTATTGCTGGATCAAATGGTAGATCGATGTCCAGCTTTTTAAGTAGCCTCCAAATTTTTTTTTTTTTTCCAGAGTGGTTGTACTAGTCTACATTCCCACCAACAGTGTAAGAGGGTTCCTTTTTCCCCGCATCCTCGACTAAGGCCCAAATTAAATGTCACCTCTCTGAAACAATCACTCTTCCCAAAATAAGGGTTGTTTCCCCTTGATTCTGAGTATTAATCCTCAGCCCAGTCCTCGACCTGTATCTTTTATCTCTAAAAAAGTCTTATTTTTTGAGATATTTTTAGTTTCAAAGGTCTATGACCATTTTCTGTGGGTATCACTATTTTAAAAATGAAAGGGACATCCAATCTCATATTCGTTAACCAGCCAATTTCCCCTTAAAGACTATCCAAAATAAGAAAAAAGACTTTATACTGAGAGATAGAACAAAAATACTAAAGAGTTTGAGTTTTATTTGAAGGTGTACTGATACAAAGAACTATTCAGGTTCAACTATGCAACAATGACTTTTAAGAGTTACCATTGTCTTGGTCCAGCCTAATGGTTGCAGGTCCATTATCCCAGCACTTGGGAGAGGGTGAGGCAGGAGGATCATGAGTTTGAGGCCTGCCTGGGTTATATAACAAGACCCTGTCACACACACAAAAGAAGAAAAGTCATCTTTGTAGAGGGTCAGTATTTTTTCTCAGTATGCACATTCTTCAATTTTATGATACTACTTTATAACAAACTGGTAATTTCTAAATGTTTACTTTAAAACTGTGACACTTGTCACTTTTGTCTTCTATTCTACTGATTGCCTTTTTTTCTTATTTAATAGCTAGTGCTTCTGAAGATGTTTTTAATTTTCTGAAACCTCACTTCTTCAGAACTCTGACCTGGAAACCTTCTCTCTCTGAAATATAGGTTGGAACCAGAAAGAAAAAAACTTAAATATCTATAAAAAGAAGAAATTACACAAGTGACATCAGATGCCAAAATAGAATTTTATGTTACAATAAATACAATAATTCATTCTCTTAGTGCCACTGTTGGTTTTTAAAATACTGATCTTTTCATATCACTCTTCCCTCGACCCTGTGAAAAAATTATTCCTTCACAGTCTCTCCCCATTTTTTAGTTTATTTCTCATACTAGTTAGAAATCATGTCAGGAAGACATCTAGGCATATAAAATAAATGCCACAAAGTCCACTAAAATTCCTTCAAGAACATTTTAAAATACTGTTCTTTGAACTTAGGTTATTTGATTTCTCAACCCATATCAGAATAAGAATAGGCAATTAGAGGAGAGGCTTACTGCTGGAAGCAAGCCTGATTAAAAGCAAGAAATGATAGCTGATAACCTGGCAAAAAAGAAATGAAGTCTGTGAAATGTAAGACCTCAAAGCAAAGCTATTCAACCCTTAACTAAGGATCATTGTTCACATGTACTTTTTATAGCAACTGAAGACATTGCATTCGAGCTTTATATAAATGTCATTCATAGTGTAATGTTCTAGAGCCCCACAAAAGATTTACTCGTGTGTTCAACATGTTCTGTTAAACAAGGTAAGGCAATACGTGGTAGATGTATGTACACCCACAAAGTTAAGGTCAGCAGTCATTTGGAAACCTCAGCTATTCTGACCTCTTCACTTCCTGCAGGTTTCATAAATTCTGTTGTGAGTTCCCACTTAGTTCTGTGTTCTAAGTGATTACTACATCTGAGTCTGACAGCTTAGTTTTCAAGGATATAGATGCCACCAAAGTTAATATGATACGTTTGAACTTCTAAATTTCAGAAATATAGTGTTTTCACCTTAGACCTTTTTTGAATGGATTTTCCACTGTGTTTTTCAAATAGGGTTTGTTTTGTTTTTTTCCCTTTAGATTGGTCGGTCGACTGAAAGTCCTATTGATTTCGTAGTAACTGACACAGTTCCTGGAAGTCAAAGTAATTCTGATACACAGTCAGTACAAAGTACCATATCAAGATTTGCCTGTAGAATCATATGTGAGCGGAACCCCCCTTTTACAGCACGGATTTATGCTGCAGGATTTGATTCATCAAAAAATATCTTTCTTGGGGTAAAAAGCCTTTTTTTTTTAAACAATGCTTTCTTTTATAAAAAGCAAAATAATGCCAAATTATTTTTCAAATTATAAATAAATGGAAAGTCACCACTCTTTTTATAGGAGAAGGCTGCCAAATGGAAGACATCTGATGGACAGATGGATGGCTTGACCACTAATGGTGTACTTGTGATGCATCCACGCAATGGATTCACAGAAGACTCCAAGCCTGGAATTTGGAGAGAAATCTCAGTGTGTGGAAATGTATTCAGCCTGCGTGAAACCAGATCAGCTCAGCAGAGAGGAAAAATGGTAACTACTGAGTTGTAGCTTCTTATTTAACCAGGGTAAACACATGGAATGAGTTGTATTGAATACATTATATGTATTTAAATATATATATATATATATATATACACACACACATTGGTGACACAAAGAACTGAATCTGACTATCAAATGCTGACTAACAAATACTGTACTAGAGGAAAATAGCTTTTTTTTGTTAATGGTGGTGTGGTGGTGGTTTTGGCCTCCAAGTCATGATCCTTCTCTTCTGTCTCAGCCTCCCAAGTGCTAGGATTATAGTCATGTATCACCACACCCAGCTTAGTGGATAATATCTAAAACTTTCATTTAGGAAATTCTAAACATTTATTCTTTTGATACATTATGTTAGTATATTTTAAAACCTAAGCTTTCCTAGGGTCAGGTGCAGTGGCTCAAACCTCTAATCCTAGATACTTGGGAAGTAGAGATTGGCAGGATCATAGCTGAAGGCCAACCCAGGCAAAAAATTCATGAGACCAATGACTAGGCATGGCAGTATGCACATGTCATCCCAAGTACAAATGGAAACACAAATAGGATTGCAGTCCAGGCTGGCCTGAGCATATAGGGAGACCTTATCTCAAAAATAACCAGTGCAAAAAGGACTGGCAGAGTGGCTCAAATGGTAGAGCACCTGCCTTGCAATTTTGAGGCTGAGTTCAACCACCGGTACCAGCACACACACACACAAAAAACAAACCAAAACAAAAAACCATATTTTCCTAGATTAAATAGAATTATTACCTTCTACTTCTAGGTATATTTACCAAATTTAAAATATTAGGCTTATATTGATTAGACACATGTTTAAAGTTTAAGTTGCCTTTAGGCTAAAAAGAGGTGATACTGTTCAATACTTTAATCTTTTGATTTTCAAGCTTTCTTTTTTTTTTTTTCTTCTTTTATTATTCATATGTGCATACAAGGCTTGGGTCATTTCTCCCCCCTGCCCCCACCCTCAAGCTTTCATTTCATGACTACTATTAGAGTTTCTTGAATGTGGAATGAATTCCAGGAAATCTCATTTCTTGAGTAAGGAGCTCTTAAAACCAAAACTCTTATGTAAAAGTCCAAAACATAAGTAATGAATATATGATTAGTTGGTTTATTTATTTATTTTGATTCTTGTCTCCTGTAGGTGGAACTTGAAACCAATCAGTTACAAGATGGCTCATTAATTGACCTCTGTGGTGCAACATTGCTGTGGCGTACTGCAGAAGGCCTTTCCCACACTCCTACTGTGAAGCATTTAGAAGCTTTAAGACAGGAAATCAATGCAGCACGACCTCAGTGCCCTGTAGGGTTCAACACACTAGCCTTTCCTAGTATGAAGAGGAAAGATGTTGTAGATGAAAAACAACCATGGGTGTATCTGAACTGCGGCCACGTACATGGCTATCATAACTGGGGGAACAAAGAAGAACGTGACGGAAAAGATCGTGAATGTCCTATGTGTAGGTCTGTTGGTCCCTATGTCCCTCTGTGGCTTGGATGTGAAGCTGGATTTTATGTGGACGCCGGCCCTCCAACCCATGCGTTTAGCCCCTGTGGGCATGTGTGTTCAGAAAAGACAACGGCCTATTGGTCCCAGATCCCGCTTCCTCACGGTACTCACACTTTTCATGCAGCCTGTCCCTTTTGTGCACATCAGTTGGCTGGGGAACAAGGCTACATCAGACTTATTTTCCAAGGACCTCTAGACTAACAGACAGTTGTCCTCCAGAACTACATCATAAATTTATAAGCTAAGCGAGTTGGGTTTTCCAACCTGTTGTACATGTGACAGTTTCTCTGCTCTGGTTATTTGCATTAATATGAAGAATTTTTTTAAACATTTATAATAAATAGTAGCAATTTCTGAGCAAAAATCGTGGGAAATTGAAGCAAAGGAATTTTTGAAAGTACCAGACTTCTGAATTCTGAGTTTTGAAAATATATTTTGAGGAGAAAAAGACATAGTCTAATTTGATGCCTTCATTTTAGTGTTTTTGAATCACTCATCCTCAGTGTTGAGAAATTGTTTTGTATAGCTGAGGGTACTGTTGGTTCAAACTATGTTAGTTTACAGTTTGTTGCAGACATTGTAAAATACAGCAACGTGTATATTAACTTTTTTCTATTTATCTTTATTATAGAAAATATCTTAGAATGTTCTTGATAGAGTAGTATGGTAATGATGGTATCACACCCTTGGTGTGAATGGTAGGTTAGTGAGCACATAGCTCAAGGATTTGCAGAGTTAAGGACAAGAGAGCCTCTCTCCCTATCCACATCTAAATATGGAATTTGGTAAATTATAATAATTTGTAAAAGCAGATTCATATTAATTACCATTGTCTAAGAGGTATTTGTTTTTAACCACACTGAAGTTAATCAGGAAGTTTTTTTCTTTAATGTTTCTCTCAAGTGTAGTACTATAACAAAAACTTAATGCTAAGAAACATTTTATATGCTCCTTTGAATATGCAATTTATTCTAGATTCTATTTTTCTCCCATGATAACTAATCTGTTTTTAGTATCAGCAACATTTGGCAAGTTTATTTTTTGGATATAAACTGTGGTTCATCTGTTCACTGTTTCTAGAAAAAAAATTCCTACGGGAAAAAAAAGCATAAATTAACAAGAAAAGATAGTGACTTTATTTGTTCTTAGAAAAAGAAATGCTTAGTTAATTCTATACTTGGCTTTACTGAGGCATTAGAAGAATCTAGAGATACAAAGGGTTGAATGATAACCGTGCCCCACCCCTTTAACCTAGAAGACCAGCCTTAACTGTGGGCTTGAATCGGGAGAAGAGTTGCCACAGTGTGACTCATGTAAATGTTTGATTGGCAGATGAACACCAGTGATGGCAGAGTGAAGGAACACTCTTGCCAAGGTCTGCTTATTCTCTGACTCCAGTATGTCCTTGGCTTTCAGAAGCAAAAAGTAGTTTCTTTCTCCCCCCAACCTTTTTTTTTTTTGAAAGTATAGACAGTTGCACTACATCAAACCCTTTTTAACACTTGTAGAAATAAGTCAATAGACTTTTAGATTAGACAGAATCATTTTTAGTCTTTTGATTTCCTTTCCTTTAGTTTGAAAAGTTGTGTTATACTTAATTGACTATAGCAAATTTTTGTATGTGGTAGCATAGTATAGCTTTAATTTACCCTATTATAGCACTGTTATAATTGTTTATTTTTGGTTTTAAAAAAACAAAACTTGTCGCTTAGAAGCCATGAACTATTATATTTTACTTCAGTTGTCAAAATTTCTTGTTTTTAAAAATGATCATTTGGGTTCACTCAGGAAATGCATGTCAGGAAATTTGTATTATAAGTTTACTAGTTGTGATGTATCAGTAACTGCTGTTACCCCTTTTTCAAAGAAATATAATTGATTTTTAAGTTTTCTAAATTGTCACATGCTTTGTGACTAATGCAAGGAAATCAAAGTCCTGTGTTGTGTTTGTTCTAGTCATTTCTATTCAGGCTATATATTGTAGCTTAATTTTTATTTGCAATTAATTTATTCAAACTAAGTAAATACTTTTCAAAATAGATATTTGAACTTGTCTCTGTGAGTTCCTTTTTGCATAACTGAGTATGGGAAACCAGAAGTGAAAACTGGACAAATCTACCCTGTACTTTAAAATATTAATTTGAAATACATGAGTTTGCATTTAATGTAACACTTTAATGTTTCTAGTTCTCTTTGGAAATCATCTCTTATTAATAAAGAAGCCTGTTAGTGGTTGAAAAATGAAGCCTTTCTAAGTCCTATTAGGGAGTTGGTTCTTTGCAAGTCGCATACTAGGCTATTTAAGTAGTGCCTCAGTGACTATAAAAGTTTCATGATCTTCCCAAAATGCTTGAATTTTCTCCTAGCAGCAGAGAAAAACCTCATTCATTTTCTGTCAAATTCAGTTTTTAAAACTCAGGCAATGTGAATCATTTACTTGGGTGTTTTCAAGCACTTTAAATATTAGTTCTGTCACTTTGCCTAATAGAACACTCTTACTTATTCAGTTGTATTAAAGAAGTGTCGGTGTTCTAACCAAAAAGGAGAAAGGGCTGTATGTAGGTCTCTGAAATGCTTAAATGCATTCTCAGGGCTGGGGATTTGGCTTAAGGGGTAGAGTAGCAAGTGCAAGGTCCTGAGCTCAAACCCCCAGTACTGGAGGGGAGAAAAAAAGAAAAAAGCACTCTAAAGAAAGATAATCCTTTGTTAGCTCTGTTTCTCTGTTTTATCAGAGTAATTTTCATACTTACAAGTTCCTTAATTTAACTTCCTTCTAAAACATTAGAGTGACAAAACACAACATGCAGGGCACACATTGAGCAGGTGTCTTTTTTTACTAGGTTATCTTCTCGAAGCTCTAATTGCTAACTTCACTCATAAAAACCCTCTGGTACATGTGAAGCAGGGTAGGATAAATAATAATAAAGCAGATGTATAATTGCCTCTAACACTTGATACTGCCACTCTACTTCTCCCTTGGGCTACCTCAAGAACCATGAGTGCCTGGCCTTCTGACACAGACAGAGGGCAGCAGTGAAAATCTGTCCATTTTTCCTTTCCATTTATAAGATAAACATCATTCTAACAATTTGGCCCTTCATCCCAATGCATTTTCTTGTGCTACCCACTGTGGTGGTACTAGGTCTGTGATACATTCCTTTCTCTATGCTTTAAGCATAGACCTGTAGCCAGTCATCAGCAGAGCTACATGACTAAATTATACCACCCTAGCTCACACCCCCACTTTCAGAAGTGCTATTATATAATTCACTTTAATGCTTGCCCTCAAATTTTCTACTGATTTTTAAAATAAGATACTTGAATTCCTGGTGTGTACCAATCCATGTTCTAAATATTAGGTGATATAGCAGGGGAAAAAGATCTCTGCCTTCATGGGATTTGTATTCTAATGGGGAACAAAGGAATGAGCAAGAGAAAGTACAAAATAGGGCATGAAAAGTGAACGGTGCTGGAGGCAAAGCAGAAAAGAGAGATAGAAAATGTCATGTGCCAGGGGCAGGTAATGGCACTATCAAATAGAAGGGCCCACTGGTATCTGAAACTGTCAAAGTTGTAAATATTTCCAAACATTTTTAAAATGAAAAGGCACTATGGTGGGCTCCTCATTCTGCTTTGCTGTTGATGTGACAAAGCATCTGAAGATGTTTCTGAAATTTTGTTTTCAATTTGTAAGGTGGTGGTAGCTATATGGTTATTGGCTAGAAATCCTGACTTAACTGTAGATTATCTGCAGTTTGCAAAAAGACAAAACAACCAATATAGACTCGATGCTCCTTGCTTAGCATTGAGGCTATGAGAAGCCATACCTCAGGGCATGCACTGTGAGGCTGGAAATACTGACACTGCATTTGGGCATTCATTTATCTTCAGGTTGTCTTGTTTTTGTGGAACATTTGCTGCCACTCTTAGCTGTGGAAAAGGAAGGAGACCATCATAAGAAGGGCTTGGCTTACTGGGAAGGTAGAATTTGAGTAAAGATTTGAAGGAGCTAAAGGGACTGCTACTTAGGAGAAGAGCATTTAGGCAGAAAGAAGTGCCAGGGCCCCAGAATGGAAGCTTGCCTGGAACGTTTCTATAATGGCAAAGAGGCTAGTGTGGCTAAGTTAGCATTAAAGGGAAGAGTCATAGGAAAGTCAAAAAAGTAAAATGACAGGTTAAGGGGAGTGATGAGGAGGGCACTAGATCATGAAAGGCCTCCTAAGACCTGTGGCTTTTGTTCTGAGTGAGATGGGAGCCAATAGGGATTTGACCATGGAAATGAAATGATCTGGTTGATTTTCTTTTTTTTTAAAGATCTAAACAGACTGAAGTCGAGAGCAGGGAGACCATTGTAGTAATTCCGGAGAAAGATGACGGTGGCATGGATCAAGCTGGTGAGAGTGGAGATAGTTTGAAAGTGGTCAGGACCTTGGATATGGATTTTTGTAGGCATTGGCAGGTTGGACAGCTATGGAGTATGAATAAAGGATGAGAAAACAAGAAGTACACCCCTGGTGTAGCTCAGTGGTAGAGCACAGCCCCTGGGTTCAAACTCTAGCACATGAGTGCAGTGCACACACACAAAGAAAGGCTTGGGTCAATCAGCCTCAGCAGCTGGAGGATAGAATTGTCAGTTACTGAAGTAGAACTGTGGAAAGAACAGTTTAGAGTGCATTGGTGGCAGAATCAGGAGCATAATCCTGGACATTAGCTCAAGATTCCTATTGGACGAGATTTCTGCCAAAAGTGGGATGGCTCCACCTTTTTGCTTTTTAAGACAGGATCTCAATATACAGGCCAAGCTGGCCTCAAATTCACGATCCTCCTGCCTCTACATCCCAAGTGCTGAGATTACAGATGTCTTTGAGCACGCCTGACTTTCCACTTTGTTTTAACTACTATCAAAGTTCTCAACCATTATGATCAGTGTTCTCTGTATACCCCATGCTATCTAAGAAACAAACTGAGACAAAAGTATTCCTCTGGATTAATGGTGGACTTCCTTGCATAGGAACAGTAATTGGGTCAGCTCTCATGTTTCTTTGCTTTGGCTGCCCTCTGAGGAAATGAAGTTATGATTTCAACTGCAGTAACTTCCTTTAGCCAAGTACTCTGATAGTTTTTCTTCCTCCTCACCCATATACATCTTTTTACGTGTCTCTTGCCTTTTTAAATTAATAGTCCTTAATTTCCTTGAATGTTAATTCATTGCTTCAAATCACTTTTGACAGTGACAGCTCTGTTATGTCAAGTTCTATTTTTCCTTGATGTTTTTTCTTTTTTAATATTAATGTGCTTATGGAAAGCAGAATTCTTGAACTTACTTTATAAATCTACATTTTAATATCTGGTTTCCCTGAAGGAAGTATCCCTCTCTTTGGTAATTGTCAACAGAAAATTGAGTACATAAGTTCAAAAGTTTTTCTGGTAATTGTCATAAAGCATCATGTCCAAACATTGCATTAGGTGATATGACAGAAATGCTAGATTCTTTAGGTTAATATTAGATTGTAAACCTCTCTTTAAGTCAAAGTAAAGCCACGTCATAAATTATTCACAGCTAATATGTGAGTGCTCTGTGTCAGCACTGTTCTAAATACACCATATTAGTAATATCGATACTACTTCCAGCTCAGAACATCCCTGTGAGGTAGGCCCTATAATCTCCATGTTACATTGGAAACCAGCCACAGCAGTGTAATTTGCAGGAAGCTCACATTTTCACGTGCAATATAAATTGCACAGTAACTCAGTCTGAACTGCGGACGTCTCACCCATCAGCGTGTGCTTCTTCCACTTATTAGTGATGAGCACATTGAAGGAGTTCATTTGTAAGCTGGCAAATGAGGTGTCCTAGTCACATCACACTTGTTGAGCCACAAGGTAGATGCTCAAAAACTTTCTTAGATCATCAGAGAGAAAACTAAGAAATCAGCCTTGAAGCTACGAAAAATACTCTCTGAGTAGAAGCATTAACAGAAATCCAAAAACTGAAGGTTACAGAAGCTATTTATTTTATCAGAAAATGTGTTTACCTTGGCTTAAACAAGACAAGGGAAAAGGAGATGTACACAAAGTG